TCTATAAGGCTTGAAATCTGTTGGGGTGGCCCACTCTTTTTTGCATTTTTGGTTCCTAAAACCCTGTTGATGTTTCCTTATGGGTTGGGCTATCAACCAAGGCCCAAATTCCGCTTTGGGCCTCAAATCATTAAACCTAACTTGGGTTGGATCTGAGTTTACTTGTGACTGTTGAGAGTTATCATCTGTAACGTTTCTCGTCCTTTGGTTCTCCTCTCTAATCGGGCTAAGGTTTCTGGTAACCATTGGAGGAATTTTACCTATACTATGAGGACAGTAGGCTTCCATATGTCATATCCTCCCACATCCAAAGCAAACGGTGTGCAAACACTCATATTCAACTCTGAAAATTCTTGAACCCAACTTGTACTGCGAATTTAGAGGTTTGCTATGAGATCTCTCTCCACACACACTCTAGCAAATTTTCCTCTCTCAGTAGCTGCTGTTTTAATGCTCACCTTGATTGGCTTACTTAGTGCTTTTGGAATATGGAACAAGGTTTTTTCATCATAGTACTCAATCGGGAGTTCTGAAAGCCTTACCCAGATTCGATGGTAATCTCAAAAGCCCTAAAAGGAATAAAATCAGGTTCTCACTTTCTGACCGTTAGGTAGTGATTCATAATAATCTATGGACCTTTAGTTGAGACTTTGAAGCAGTCTTTCTTAGATTAGAATTTAAACAAGAAGAAACCATTATCCAAATCAATTGCTTCAAAATCATTCTGGAGGGCCCAAATATTCTTAACCTTCATAAACAATATTTTGTATCCAATGTTTTTTCCAAGAAGTTTTACTAGCAACCCATCTTTCTAGCTATTTCAGATGCAAAGTAGAGTTCTCTAGGGTAGTCTTATACATGTGCAGGACTCATCAGAGGTGTCGATTAAACCTTGTTTGATGACCCCCAAATGACCAACCTCAACCTCCCTTGTTTGATCCTTTTTAGGCACTTCGGCGTCTTCGTCATCAGAGAGTTCACCATACACAGCTTCATCAAAATACAAAGTATTTCTATCTTCCAACAAGCCAGCCATATAATTTCTTGGCTTAGGATCAGAAGTAGTCTCAAGATTTTCAATCATATCTTTCTCCTCTTCCACAATTCTTATGGTTGCTGGGTCCACTAACATTACATCTTCAGATGAGGTCTAATGGCATTCTTTTGATTTTCTTGGTACTACATTGAAGGTGATCGTCCTCCTCTATCGATCGAGGCGGATGACCCTTAGGATCCTCATCCATCGAGGAGAAAGCCAGATCCAGATGGAAATGAAAGCATTTTGATTTACTTTATTTTACCAAAGTCATGACATTAAAAATTCAGTTTAGACTTTCAGCTTAATATGTGCCTATATTCATTATTTGATTGTTTCATGTTCAAGAACAATGTTCGTTTTTTTTGCATTGCACAAGGCCTTCAAGTACAGGTTATGAAGATAGTTTAGGCTTTTAACTTAGTATGCATTAGAGTTCAGTACTTGATTATTTTGTGCCCAAATTCAATGCTTGATTTTTTTTTGAATTACATAGTGTCTTCAAACACGGGTTATCTCTAGTACATTAATATATTATGTACTAGTGTCCTGCGATGCACATGTATTTTTTTGCCATTTTTTAGATTTTGATTAAGGAGATAGATACAAAATAATACTAAATTCTTCAATAAAAAATAATTTATACAAATAAATTTTATAAAATAATAGGTAGTTTGTGAGGTGTTCAAAGGAGATTACAAAAGACATATGGTAGAGTGCAATTGGAATAAGCCTTAGTATGGTAATTCCAAAAAATTAAAACTTTAGAAAATTAGAAAATGTGGAGGAAAGACTTTTCAAGTTTTCTCTCTCCTAATTTGTTTGTTTTTATAGATATACTATATGTCTATCCCATTCTATGCATGGAATTATAATTCGTGTCTTTTTTATTTATTTTTTATTTGTTTCTTTCTTGTTATCACTTGAGAAGTTAGATAAATAGTTATAGAAATTTTTCCGATGATAAAAAAATAATTTAGTTGAATCAAATTTGAAAGGATAGTAGTTGGCTATTGGGGAGTTGAGGGTGTTTACAACTGACACATGTTATCGTCTAATTGGATGAAGCCTTAGGTTTTGAATTAAAAGAAAATTAAATTCTAAGAATTTCAAAAACAGGGAGGGAAGACTTTGCATGCCCAATAATCTCTAAATTGTTATATGTATATGCGTTATGGCTCCATATATTCTTTCATTTTTTATTTATTTTTTTCTCTTTCACCTTGTTACTTAAGAGGGTAAAAAAAAGAGTTAAACTAAATTATTGAATAATAAAAATAATTTTATGCAAATAAATGTGAAAAGAATAGTGGATAGTTAATGGGGGAGTTGACGGGTGGTTACAAAAGACATATGGTAATGTGATTGGGGCAAGACTTAGTATGATAATTAAGCATTCTCCCTTTTAATTTATTTGTTTTATATATATAGATAGACAAATATAGATATATAGATTATATAATATATTTTTATTATACGGTAAGTGTATAATAATATATTATATACTAAAAAATTGTATATTGTAATATTTATATTTATTGTATATATGTATTATATATTACGTGGGTAAATGTGTATCATATATAATAAGTGGATAATATGTGAGATTGTCAGGATTAATATAATAAAATAACAAATTCTCTCACTTTCATCTGCAGACAAACTCTTACAGGGGGGGGGGGTGTAAGTGAAATTTTTGATATTGTAGAGAGTGTGCTTAAAGATAAGATATTCTATTGGGGTGTGGATTAAATTTTCACTAATTTTATTGGATCTCTAGTGGTTGATGGTCCCCTTAGCCGAGCCATTCTATGTTGAAAAGAGGCACTTGATCATCAATTTACAATATCACGCAATATGCACATACAAGTATTTAATACATAGTCCTTTGGTAAACAATATATACAAATTTCATATGCAAATTCATGATTCATAAGTGAGATACTTAACCAACCACATGCAGCACAAATTAAATAAACATCGAGGAGGGATTTTAGTCTCATATATCCTACCGCATATTTGTTCAGTAGAATCATCATTTGCTTATTGTAGGTCTGTTGATTCCCGTCTGAGACACCATCTATTTGAAAGAGGTGCACATATTAATTATATGGTTTTTAAAAGTAATGATGGTTAAGATTTGTTGAAGCCCAACATGGTGAGAAGAATGCCAAGATAATCAAATCTGTAAATTGACTTAAAGAGCTGCAACTTGTGGTCATTCCATGGAGGGTATCTGAACCAAAAGTCTGTTAGGAAGCTTCTACTTAGAACTGCCTTTTCATGGGTGAAGTTATCAAAAGAGAATTTTCCATGGTACTTGCCAAATCCACTTTCACCAGTTCCTCCAAATGGGATAGTATCTGCTGCATACTGCACTCATAGCATAGCAGGCAGACAAGATCAGAAAAGAAATAAAAAACTATTTTCAAGAAAGCAGCAATTAAGTCACTGATGAAATACCTGGATTACAGCGTCATTAAATGTCACACTTCCTGAAGATGTCTCAGATATCACCCTTTTCTTGAATGTTTCATTGTTGGTGAAGGCATAAATAGTGAGAGCCTTAGGCCTTGACTTGATAAATTGAATACTATCTTCAATTTTCGACAACTGCCAGAAAAGGGGGAGGAAAATGCCATATATTTTTGTTTCTTCAATTACGTACGAATGTGTCTGGAAATATTTATATAGGCTTTTATTTTAGTATGATAAATGGAGTACTGCTTACTGTAATTACTGGAAGCAATGGCCCAAATATTTCTTCTGTCATAATTGCAGACGTGGGAGGAGGATCCACCAAGATAGTGGGCTCAATGAACCTGTGGTCACATGAATGAACATTAATAAAACTTCTATCCAATATGGAGTTAGATCATCTTTCCTGCACTTTATTTTCTTCTCTCCTTTGTTTTTGGTAGAAGGGACGAAAAGTAAGAAGAGTTAATTTTTTTTATGTTTGGTAGGATGAAAAAATAGAAAGATATATCTATATATATTAAATGATATAGAAGTAAATAACATACATTTTAACATACATAATTAATTTTTTATCCTAATTTTGGATGGATTGATTTTGGTGAGTTAAAAAAAAAGTTCATCCAGCCACTTTTTTATTCTTTCTATTTTTTTCTTTCTTTATTAAACATGATGTTTTATTTATCTCTCAAACTTTTCATCATTTTATTTTTTATCGCACCCAACAAATATTATTTTTTATTTTTTTGGGAGAAGGGGGAGAGAGAGAGAGGGGGAGGGAGACTTGAACCCTTGACCTCATAAAGACAAAATTTTCATAAGATGAGAAGTACCATTGGACCAAATAGCCATCGGTGTACCCAACAAATATTAGTGATTTTGTTTTCTTTGCAAAGGAGCATGGTACATGTTAGCCTTGGTAAAAAACCAACAAATGAGTCAAAAGAGAGGGAAAATAAACATTGAACAACATCATACTAATACGAATTACTTACAGATTGTCTTCATCGAATGAACCACCATAGACAATAGAAGCTCTGACCATAGGTTCATCTAAATAATTTTTCAGTCTCAAGAAGTGCCTTTTATTGACGATTCTTGCAACACTATATGATTCTTTTGGATTTTCTCCAAACATTTTCTTAGTTGCAACCTTGAGTTGTTCCACCTGGAAGAAATGATATATATATACTTCAAGCTAATATTTTTTCCTATTTTAGCAAATTAATAAATAGAAAATCTGCAAATTGCACTTTGACCCCTTAACTATGACTTTTTTACATTGCCCCCTCATTTATCATATTTTCACAATGTAATTAGCTTCACATTGCCCCAATGATTAGTGTCCATTACAAATTTAACAAAGAATGATTTTATTTTGCCACTGAACTATGTAATTTTTTTCGCTTTCTCCTGACATGTTGGCAGTTTTCATCCAAAAAAGATAACATGTGTTTGCATTTTGGAGTAATGTGAAATAATTCAAGTAGTTGAGGGGGTAATGTAAAAAATTAAATAGTTTAAGAAAAAAAGTAAAATTGAGTCCATATTTAAATGGGTCAATGTGTAATTTTGCCATCGAAAACTTGATATCAAACCAATTGGCAGCATACCAAAGTGGAAGTGTACGTCTTTTCTGCGAGGATATAGTCAATTGCTATGCATGCTTGGCCAGCACAGGCCCCAAATTTTCCACCAAGAATTCTTTTTATTGCAGCCTGAGAAAGAGGCAAAGCTTCATGAATTAAGCAACTTCTTATGATACAAAATACCTCTACTTTCTTTCTTCAACTTAATTCAATTTATATCTTCACTCATTTATAGTTATGAATGACATGCATTGGTTAAATTGCACAAACTTAGCCATTTTGTAGTTTGGTTCCTTGCAAATATAGTCGAGTTTGTATCATATCAATTATAATTCGAATCTATCAAGACTAAACTCATACTCGATATTTTTAAGAGCAATGTTTTTTATACCTAATTTATTGATATAACTTGTTGACCTAATTCATTATATTCATTGGAGCAAAATGGAGACTTACCTCTCTATCCCAAGAACTAGCGAGGGAATCAACAACGGCTGGGCATTTTCCACCCAACTCCAATGTGACAGGCGTAAGATGCTTTGCAGCTGCAGACATGACAATGCGTCCCACTTGTGCACTACCTACCATTTGTTTTTAATTTTTTTAAAAAGTAAAATTTAATTTCATCAAAAAAATAAAATAAAAATAAAAGAATATATATACATGTATATATCTTGTCCCACTGGAAAAACAGAAGAAAGACTGAGTGATTAAGCTGATAAATATTTGGACCTGTGAAGAAAATCTTGTCCCATTTGTGTTGGAGCAGTTGTTCAGAAACAGAGGCACCACCTTGGATGACCTTCACAGCTTTGTTGTCAAGGTAAGTATGGATGTTACCAGCTAGAACCGAAGAACATGCAGGAGCTAGCTCGGAAGGCTTTAGAACCGCTACGTTTCCTGCAGATATTGCGCCGATCAATGGTTCCAATGACAACCCTACAAGATGATAGCGATGTTGATAACGTAAATATCACAACAACAACAACAATAATAAGACGATGATCATCCAATATCGTGCTACATCCCCTACGTTTCTGCAAGCTTGCATATAGATATGCATAGATGTTGCAAGCATTTTTTGTTTGTGTTTTTAAGTATATGTGCAAAACCTCATTTGTGCATGGATATTTTTTTTTTGTTGTACATCAATAAATCGTTATTACAATAAGCAGTCTACTAATATTCTATGCTTGGTTGTTACTTATCCTAAAGTCCCAAGTTCGGTTTTATTTCTTAACCTCAAACCTCAGGGGATAACTATAATTTCTCAAGCCTCAGGGGTTGAATTTATGTTCAGAAAACCATGCAATAATCTTATTCCAATCTATAAATTCTAATGTTTGGATAGTTAATGAATAGATGCGATAATCTACATCAGAAATAAAATTTCTATTGGAATTATATTCTCAATGATGGTAGAAATCTTAAATCCATCGACAGTGGAGGTAATCTCAAAACCCAACTCAATTGGATGGTTTTTTTCGGGGTAAGTAATCAATTGGACGTTCTAAAAAAGGAAAAAAAAAAATTCAAAATCAAAACTCTTTCCCAAAATTTAGTTCATTCATAAAGTCAAGCTCCCTTCCTAAAAATTATGTTCATCCTAAGATAAAGTTTATTACTAAAAATAGATATTCATTCCCATAATAGATTATTAATGATACTAAATACTAAATAATAGATCACTGCGATATTTGAAACCTGGATATCCCTTTGCTAAGAATGAGATATCCATTCTTGATTAAAATTACTGTCATCCAAACAAGACGTGGGGGTTTCAATGTAATTCTCTCTATTAGTAATTCTCTCTATTAGTAATTCTTAGGCTCTCCTGAGCATTTGAAGTGCATGAATTGATTAGACTAAGTTGACTCGGGGGCTGATTGGTCTCTAATTTCCTTGAAAATTAGTCCAGGATAAAAATAAACTCCTTTGTAAGCAAATATTTTTAGGATAAATTGCACTTTGATCCTGTAAACTATATCTCATGTCTCACATCACCTCCTCAACTCCGAGTTTCTCACATTGCACATCTAGGGGGAGCAAAATGAGATCAAGGCTATAATTGAGGGGTTAAAGTATAATTGGTTCGTATTTTCATTCTTTTAAGCAACACAGCTTTGCACAAAATTCGAAAATTAGGCCTTACCAAGTGGAAAATTCCATGATGAGATAATGAGGACAAGACCAAGAGGCTCAGGAACCAATTCTGCCGTTGAGGGGAATGCAACTATCGGTAATTTTGCCTGTCAATCAACAAATTACAAACAATAGTAATTAGCTCATGCACATTTAATTCCACTCAAACATCTGATTCCATGACTTTTTTCTAGTTATAACTTCAATTTTTTAACTAGTTTTAAAGATTTTGGTTTCCAAGTAAATTGCCTTTCCTGTAACTTGCCGATAATTAAAGTCAATTATGTTTTCCATTATCCATAATGAAAGATGCAAAGAAGTACGTAAACCAGATTATATATAACATATAGTTCAACTAAAATCTTTAACTCTCTTTTCGTCCGCTATGTAGATCCCTTCTCGTATACTAGATAAAATTGGACTGAAATAGAGAGCATGCATCCTACCTAAGGAATGACCCGTACAAACCAAGAAAAATGGGCGTGCAAGATAGAAAATCATACGAAGTACACAATATTACCACCTATAATGGGGTCTAGAAAAGATAACTAGTAAACACTTTTATCCTAAGTTTTCTGGTTCGTGATCAAGTTAGTTCTCTCCTTGTTTGGATGTAGGTAAAGAGTTAGAACAGGTGATTATTGAAGACTATTTTTGAGGAGTTTGGCAAGTTTTAAACCAAAAAATGGCAGCTTTGACCATCTCCAGTTGAAGTCCTCACGTAATCTTTTCTCTTTTGCTTTGCATTTGTGATTTGCGTTGTTGTACGGATTATGGATACAAGCTAGGTTGTTATATTTAGATTCAAATATCTTTTATTATACTTTCACTTAATTTCATTCACTATAAAAAAATCACATCGAGTATGGGTAAGAGACCCACTTATAAATGGTGATTCTTACTTGAATATATATATGGTAGGTGATTGACCTACTATTGAGTAAAACTAAGTGAAACTATAATCAAGATATCTAAATCCATTATTTTAACTTCTATACGAAAGCATAATCGAGAATTGATGTTACTAAAGAAATAACTATAATTGAATGTGTAACTTAGATAACATAAAAGTTAAGAGGTTAATGTGAGACCAACTCATAATTGAGGCGTTCAGAGTGTAATTTTGTGCCCTTTGGTCATTGTATGTATGAAATATAGTAATTCACAAAAACAAAACAAATAAAAAAAACTTACTTTCTTGCTTGACATCCATTGATTTAAGTTTCCCAATGCATAATTGACGGATTTTATTACTGTTCCTACCTGCATAAATTCAAATTACATGATAAATGACAATAAAATTCATCAGCCATCCATCAATAGGAATATATGACAAAAACCATCCATATAATAAAACATAAAAATTTTATACGCAAAGCACAATGACGACTTAGATTATTTGGATCCGATAACATATCTTACCAAGTAAATCTACCTATTTCTATTTTACTTTTTAATCACTTTTTTTATTTTAATCAGAATAAAACTACATATTAATCCTACATTTCATCTTAACCCTAGAGTACTGATACGGGAGGAATAATCAAGCATGAGTCGTCTGAAGTTTGGATGCTAGGATGGCCCAAAAATGTTAATTTTTTGGATAATTTGGAAATCGGTGCAAAAATTTAAACTTATTTGAGTTAAACTACATTAATGAAGCTTATTTGTCTCTAAGTGCATTTTTTTGAAAAAAAAGACTAAAAGATCATTTGTTACTCTATTATTCGCTCTCTCCATTGCTCACTAACTCTCTTTTCTTTAGTTTCTCTCTATATATTTCTCTCTCTTTCTCTCTAATTTATTTATTTTTTAAATATGTAAAGATTTGATTTAATTTTTTTTATCTCTCTCCCCTATTTTTTTTCTCTCTCACACCCTCTTCCCTTATTTCCTTATTCTCTGTCTTTCTCTTTATATTAACGTTACAACAACACAATTACACTAATCAGTTATATCAATTAGTTACAATTATCCTATAATACACCAAACAGTTATTTGTGTGTTTTAATAAACCAAATAATTACACTAAACAATTATACAAAATTACAACACTAACTCAATTTATCATTTAATTATTTACATAAATTAAAGAGTTATACAATTTAGTATCACGATATGGTTACACCAATTATATACATTAAATTCAATTTATCATTACACAAAAGACTAATATTATACTAAATTTGGAATATATAATTGGTGTAACGATGTCGCAATACTAAATGGTACAAATATTTAGTTTATGTAAGTAACTGAATGACAAATTGAGTTGGTGTCATAATTTTGTGTAATTGTTTGGTATAACTGTTTGATTTATTAGAATGTATGAGTAACAGTTTGTTGTATTATATGACAATTGTAACTGATTATCAATGTTATCAGAACCAGACCAGTAATTGAACTGGCAAGAGGACCGGGTTAATGGTTCATTGGTTCAACCGTTGGATCAACTGGTCATATAATAAAAAAATAAAAAAATATATATAATAATTATAAAACTTATTAATTTAGCTAAAAAATATAAAATATGTATAAAATACATATAATTTGTCATAAAATTAATGAAATTAAGTAACAAAATGGGGGTTACTGTATTTTAAAGCAAAATAAAGAAGTTCAAGTAAATTATAAAGAAAAAGAAAGGGTATCATTTATAATTTATCCAAGAATAAGGTTAAAAAAAATCAGCTATTTACTGATTTAGGGCAAAAAAATTTATTTATGTAATTTAATTTTTAAATAGGCATTAAACTGTCCAGTTTTTATAAAACTGCAAGTTCACGATTTTTGTTAAAAATCAGCCGTTTTTCTAGTTTTTAGCCGGTTCGCTTTCTTAAGCGGTTCAACTAAGGAACCAGACCGGTTAGGGTCCCGGTTCACGGTTGAATCGGTCTGACCGGCCGGTCTAGTCCGGATAATACTATTGATTATTGTAATTGTATTATTGTAATGTTGATATAAATAGAGAGAGAGAGAGAGAATAGGGAAAGAGAGAAACGGTTATAGAAAATAGCGGGAGAGAGATGAAAAAATAAATCAAAATTTTAAATATTTGAAAAAAAATAAATTATCAATGATAGATAGAGAGAGAAAATAAGGGAGAGATGGGGATAGTAACGAGGAGAGATGGGGAAAGTAACGAGGAGAGAGAAAGAGAGATGAAGAGAAAATAGGGGAGAGAAAGTGAGAGAGTCTAATAAAATCTTTACATATTGAATTAGATATATAACTGTCAATTAATAATGCATAAATTAAGGGAGAGTATTTAAGTAAAAAAATTAATTATATTTGAATTTTATACCTAAACATAATATATTTTATTAAAACTAAATTTAAGGAAACAAACAATTTATTCATACAGTTTTTCTCAAATAAGTTTAAAAAAATTTTCTGACAACACAAAAATTCCTATTTCTTTCGCCCAGTCCAAGTTTGTTGGGCCCACACACACTCAGGTGTGTGTATGTGTGTTAAGCTTTAGATGAAATGCTTACTCGTATATATGATCTAGAACTAGAACCGTTGCGATAAAGATCTGGTCACTATGACACCTGATGGGACTCTTCTGAAAAGCCCTAAGATGAAGACACGTGTCCTCGGGATTTTGGGAACAGTGTTGCCCCGGATGTAAGCACCATCGGCAAAGAGCGTCCTTTACTCCGAGGTACCTCTCATATAGGATCACATATTCGGTGTGTTATACAACAACACGTGTCCTCGGTTACACGTGTACCTCGGAAACATACCACCACTCGGTCCCCGAGGTAATCCTTTCCTCGGTGCCGAGGGTCACTCCATCCTGGACGCTTCCTCTATTCCCGGATAAAGCTACTGACGTACTGGACATCAGCCTATGCCAGTCTGGACTAATTCATCATGACCTCGTCTTACACAAGTAATGTCAGAACGTTCTGGAATACCGACATCACAGCCAATAAGGGATGGACGCGTGGCAAATAATGTCACATCAGAAGCAGACAAACCGCATGCCGTTGCTGGCACGCGACTTGGGAAAGCAAACAATTAATTGCACCCTTCTGTTGACGAGATCGCATTCAATGCGGTAAAGTTCGGATATGAAAGGCAATAAATGCTCCTATTACAGAGCATTTATTGCATCCTTCCCGAAGGGAGCATATTGTACCGTCGGCGTCCCGACAGACTCAGCATTGATTGCTCGGGACCCCGAGCAGTCAATTAGAGAAGACATTCCTCATCAAATCAATACACACGCTACCTGTGCCTGATGACCACCTACTGACCACACTGACAGCAATCATGAGTTTCTAAGGTATAAATATTCCTCCCAAAAGGCAAAGCGGGTAGGCAATCACAAACTCTCGACTACAAAATATCCTTCTCAGTGTTTTCTCCTTCATCTCTCTCATTCAAAGACTGACTAGACCGTCGGAGGGGATACGCCGGAAAACACTCCGGCGCCCTTCTAACTTGTTCTCCTTTGTTCCAGGAAATACCTTTCACACGTACAGGATCGTTCTTCCTTTCCCGGGATCTTCCTTTGCTGTTCCAGGTTTCCATCGTACCTCGCAGGTTGTTTCAAGCGGCGTGTTTGGCCACTCAACCGGCTCACTCAGAGTTCACCAGGGAAGAGATCTGTTCCCAATATTTTGTATATCGTGCAGGATCGAGCCCGCACAATCTGGCGCCGTCTGTGGGAAACGAGTAGTTTTCCTAATCTTTTCTCTATAAAGAACAGTGACCATGGTGAACACCAGACAGAAAGGGAGAGGAACCCACCAAAGAAGTCATGAGTTGCAGGCTCCCTGCCATCACGGAGGGAGGGATCGCACCAGTACGATTAAAAGTGCCTCTACTCGGTCAAGGGGGGTAACCCCCCAAACCAGTATGGGGATCAGGTCAGGAGGATCAGCCCCCTTGGCCCGTCAGCTGGCAGAGGTGATAGAAGAGAAATTTGGAGATAGATTACGTCAGCTGGAGAAGGACAATGTAAACGTCCTTAGCCGGCTCGACGAGTTTGCCGCCTCAGGCGGAGGGTCGAGGGATTCATTCCTTTCCCGAGGGCTCCCCGTCCACGAGGCGGAGACAAAGGATCTGAGAAACCACCTGGATCACAAAGCAGAAAGCTCCAGGGCCCCGAAGCGACCCAGAGCCGGCGAATGCCATCTCGACAACCATTCCAGGAAGGCGAGGCCGTTGGCCCTGGACGACCTCCGGCGAGGTTTGTCCAGACGGAGGAGGGGAGATGAATCCGAGGGGGACTCAACCCAATCTACACGACGCCCGGGAAACGAGGGGCTTACCCGTGAACCCAGGGACTTCAGGAGGCATCCCGTAAGGGAAGAAGTAGATCTCAGAGCCCGATTAGACTCCAGAAGAAAGGGTAAGACTGTCCAGGACGAGGCCGAGGACGAAGTCATGCAAACACCCTTCACGAGGGAAATCAGTGAGATGGATGTCTCAAGAAAGTTCGTCGTGCCACGGTTCAAGACCTATGATGGGCGATCTGATCCCGATGCCCATATCAGACAATATAAGCAGATGATGTCCCTCTATCATTCGGACCAACGGTTTCTATGCCGGGTGTTCCCTATGAGCTTGGGGGACTCTGCGATGAGGTGGTTCGAGGCGCTTCCCCCAAACAGTATTGGGTCCTGGAAAGAATTGACAAGGCAGTTCCTAACCCGATTCATCACGGGGAGTAAGCGCCCCAAGGACATTGGATCACTGTTGACCCTCAGGAGGAGGGAATCCGAGACTCTTCTCCAGTACGCCATCCGATACTGGGAAGAAGTCAATGAGGTCGAGGGATGTTCGGAGGTCATGGCAGCAGCATCCTTTCGGCTCGGCTTGGCGAGGGACACGGACCTGTACCGATCCCTGACCAAAAAGACTCCCTCGGATATGGGGGATCTAATGGCCCGGATCAATAAGTACTCGAGGGTCGAGGATGAGATAGGAAGCAATAAAAGCCGAGCCCCCCAACCCAAGAGAAAGGAGAAAGAGCGCGAAGATATTCCTCGGAAGGGATTGCTACCCCATCCAGGGGGTTCGTCCAGAGGAGTTCACACCGTCTTCAAGGAACCCATCTTCAGGTTGCTCCATAAAATCAAACACGAGCCGTTCTTCAAATGGCCGCCCAGGATGCAAAGCGACCCCTCCACCCGTGATCAAAAAGTAAGGTGTTCGTATCACCTGGATGTCGGGCATCGCACCGAGAGCTGCAGGGTGTTCAAATCGTTCTTGGAGAGCTTAGTCCGGGATGGATATTTGAAGGAATACATTGA